TGCTGAACTGTCCTGGTTTGTCTTATTTTTTTATGCTTGTATTTAATATTTGTCATTCATCTGCAGAGCTGCAAGTGCATAGGCTATTGTTCTTCTCAGTTGATATTAGTGAAGGTAGCAACGTTTTTCAGAGTTTCACCTGTAATACGATGTTTGATAATTGTCAGCACTCTTTCTCCTTGTTTATGTCAAATCATAGAATCACAGAATGGTTTGGGTTGGAAAGGACCTTATGATCATCTAGTTCCAACCCCCTGCCATGGGCAGAGACATCTTACCATAGATTATGTCACCCAGTGGTCTGTCCAGCCTGGCCATGAACACTGCCAGGTGTTCACAACCTCCTTGGGCAACCCATTCCAGTGCCTCACCACCCTTACTGTAAAGAACTTCTTCTTTGTATCTAACCTGAACTTCCCCTGTTAAGTTTAAACCCATTATGCCTTGTCCTACCACTACAGTCCCTAATGAAGAGTCCCTCCCCAGCATCCTTGTAGGCCCCCTTCAGATACTGGAAGGCTGCTATGAGGTCTCCACGCAGTCTTCTCTTCTCCAGGCTGAACAGCCCCAACTTTCTCAGCCTGTCTTCATACGGGAGGTGCTCCAGTCCTCTTATCATCCTCGTGGCCCTCCTCTGGACTTGCTTCAACAGCTCCATGTCCTTTTTATGTTGAGGACACCAGAACTGTACACAATACTCCAAGTGGGGTCTCACGAGAGCAGAGGGGCAGGATCATGTATCATAGGATCTTTTAAATTGTACAGCTTTCTTCATTTATTCAAAATGCCTGGCTCCCAAGAATAGCGTTATAAACAAGACAGATATTAAAGACTCAGTCAATTTTCATTACACTCCATTTTTTTTCCTGGGTCTTAGGAAATGTAAAGTGACTTAACATCTGCTTTCTTCACAAACATTCATCACTTACTTAAAATCCCACATACGTATCCTTCAGAGGTTTCTCAGGGTGTTAACCATGTCTCCTTCCTTCCAGGATCGCCCAGCCATGCAGTTATACCAGCCAGGAGCTCGCATTCGAACACATACGGGATGTACAAGTAAAACCTATGACTGCAGTGGGAGACCTTTTGAAGATGCTCTTGATAAAAAGCATGAGGCAGATAATTCAGCTGGAGGGGGTTCTGAGAAGAGCGAAGAACCAGAATAAAACCAACTGCAGGAAAGACTTGTGGAAAGGGATGAACTTAAGATTCAGTGTCACTACACAAAAACCCCATGGGGCTGTTTCAGAACTCCACAGGTAATCGCATCAACAAAACTACCATAGTTCTGCCTCTTACTTTCTGTAAAGCAAGTGGAAAAGTGACTGGAAAAGTTTAAAGTAACTTACTGCAAAGGAACGTTGTTGCTTTTTTACAAAAAGCAGCACAAACGCTATTTGCCTAATTTAAAAGCAGTTCAGTATTTTATTAGATTTACCTTGAAAACCTCCACTAGTTTTAGAGAAGTATTTATATAAGATTTTTCAGAAGCTATTTCACCTTTTCAAGCCTGAAGAGATGAAAGGTTGATTTGCATCAGTTTGAAATCTGAGGCACTTTAAGTGTGTTCGGTGCATGATATGAGGGTCAGAGGACCCCATCCCACAAATGCTGGCAGGAGCCGGGGCTGCTGCTGGGCGCTGCAGTGGGACAGACTGAGACCAGCTGGAGCCAGGGGTGTTCGCAGGATGGGGCCCACGGCTTGCACAGCTGTGAGAGGTGTCCATTGGTATCTGTAGTTGGTGTGTTTACGTTGGTGTTCAAGTAACTATAGCGTCCTGTAAGTGTTAGTAAAGCTTCAAGTACCTTGTTAGAGAGTTTGTCATTTTCTGAGCAACTTTCACCTTCAGTGTGTGCTTACAACAGCAGAAAGCTGACGCACACCTCAGCACTTAAACAATGTATCTGGTTTTAATAAATTAACTGGTTTTTATGGTTTTGACACTGACTTTTCAAAAAAAAAAAGAAGTGGTTGTACAGTGATGACTTTTTATATGCTGATGTTTCATACCAGCTGCAGTGGCAGGATTTGGAATATGTACGATACATGAATGTTCTGCAGTTCTGTTTGTTAAAGACATAAACACACATGAATGTCAACTGCAAACTACCATTTTGTAAGATCTAGGCCAAATCCTGCCCTCTGAAGCAGGCACATATGTGTGTGTGTGTATGTATATATATGTGTGTGTATATCTCTATTCCATTGGTTTCAATGATAGCATCGTGTTTATGGAAGGGCAGAAGATGTTCATTTATCTTTCACGGCTGAAAATGACTCAGTTGTCTGAAACTGAGACCTGCTTTGTTCATTGAAGTTAAATAGCAAGATACTCATTTATTTTTACATCCTCTCTGAACATTTTATTATTTAGCACAACATCTAATTGTTCCAGACTGGAAAATTATTGATTGTATTTTCCCAGATGTTAAGCATTAAATAAAAGAAAAAAGATTTTGACTCTGATTTGGAGATGTGATCATCTGCAGTGTTTCCATCTATGACTCCGGAAAAATGGAGTGTGATCCAGTGCTACTTTGTATTCTTCAAAAGCAGATAAAAATATAGTTGAGAACTTGAATGTCAAGCTAGTGAGCTGCCACCTCAAATGACTTCAAGCTTAAGTAGAGCTGCTGATAGAGGATCATTTGGGTTGAGCTCCATGTAAAGCCAAGTTTATCCTGACTGCAGAGAAAGGGTGTTGTCTTGGTGGCCTGGCTGAGGCAGCATGGGGCAGGCTTTCCCCTCAGTGACAGAGCCTGGCTTGCTGCAAGGAGAAGGACCCTTGCCAGGAGAGATCTCCGGTGGCAGAGCCCAGCAGAACCAAGATCTTTACTGGGTGAGGATCTGCTCACAAGCAGGTAATTCCCACCCGTTGGGGTGCCCAGGGGAAGCTGCTGGAGGGCTTTCACCTGTGAGAGGGACCCACCGGCCATGCAGAAACAGTGATTTTTGCACCAGCTTGGTACATTTTGGCTTTCAGACTTTCAGGCTACTCCCCCACCTTCCCCTGAGTCCAAGGTCATGGGTACCTCTTGATGCATCACAGGTAATTAATGAAACGCAGCTTGTTTAGCAGTAATTTCGCATTTGGAGCTTCTTACTTTCCATCGTTCTGGTTACCAGAAAGTGGGTGTCAGACTCCAACTCGGTAAAAACCGCCAGGGTTTAAACAACCATGTCCAGCTGGTCAAGCTGCCCTCGCTGACTGGGATTCCTGCAGCCCATTCACTTATTCTTGCTTTTCCATGAAGCCATCCTCCTACACCAGGGGCAGAGAGCCTGGCCTTTTGCTTTCTGCATCCACATGGAAGGAATATTGAGGCCACTGGGATGGGGATGTGGAGAGTGCAGTGTCTGCACCATGGCTGCATCCTAAGCCACCCCTCAAGAATCCCCTGCTGCCTGATAGCTTGGATATGCCATTGAAAGAACTCCTGAGACAACGTCTGTTACTCAGCAGACACCAGAATCCATTCTCCCACACCTGAGAGGTAACATCCTGATTTTCCACAGCAAAGACACATTTTTCCATCCATAGGTTGGTTGTTCTTTAAAAGAAATACTCTTTAAAGACATGACATACTTTTCATGCGTTGGTGCACAGGGTTCCTGCTTTCACTGGCCAGACCCAGGCTCACGGAGGTAGGCACAAGGCAACTTGTTCTTTCAGGCCTCCACTGCGTTACGCACTCACCTGTGTGCATGTGTGCTCACACACACATGGAGGTATGCACACATTTTTAATGGAAAATACTACAGGCTTGCTTTGCAGAGTCCTACCAGCTGAAAAACACTGACACCTCCACCATATGGAGTATATAAAGACACATTCCCTGTCCCATTCAAAAGAGGAAAATGGGATTCAAAAGTAGCTAATGCCAGAAGTGAGCACACCCCCTTGGTTCAGCTATAGGGATGTTCCCTGAAATCTCTGCATCCCGGCGACATTCATGTTAAGAAGTGCTGTCAGATTATCAAGCTGAGATATCAAGAGGGGGTGGCTAACGGGGTGGCCTCTGGGCTGCAGGGT